AAAAAAATATATATATATATGTATGTATGTTGTTGTTTGCCACTGAGTCAGACTTGACTCATAGCAATCCCTCCTTGGGTCTCTGAGGAGGTATCACTATGGAAGTAGATTGCCCAATCTTTCCTTCTGAGGAGTGGCTGGTGGGTTTGAACTGCCAGCCTTCTGGTTAGCAGTAAAGTGCCTTAGGCACTATGCTACCACAGCTACCAGAGCTCCTATATATATATAAATATAAACACACACATACACACACACACACATCCCCCCCAAAAAAATTCACTGCCATTGAGTCAATTCTGACTCATAGCAACTCCCTTTGGGTTTCTGAGGCAGTAAATCTTAATGGAAGTAGAACGTCCAGTCTTCCTTCTGTGGAATGGCTGGTGGGTTTGAACCACCAATCTTCTGGTTAGCAGTCAAATACCTTAAGCACTATGTCACCGGAGCTCCAACACACACACACACACACACATCAATCAGTGAGATTTCTTTTTCTAACATGTGAACTGTATTATAAACACATGACTCTCAGAAAAGTTGGGGACTCTGCTATGCTGTTGTTACTTGAACATCCTGTGCAACATTATTTGTGTAGCCCACAGAGCTCCTAGATAGCATTCCAAAATGATAAATTCTTTTTTTAAAGTTACTGCAAGAGAAGTGAGACCTAGCCTAATGCCAAATATCTAAAAATACAGAATTAACATAATCTGCCCTTACCTTTAATCATGTTTGCAATAGGAATCCATCTCTCTTTTAATGGATCGTAGAACTCAGCTTCTTCTGCTGGAGCTCCTTTTCTGTAACCCCCTAAAGCATAAACACAGCCACCCAAGGTGACTGCACAGTGGTAATACCTGGCATTGAGCATTGGCAAACCTTCCGTCCATTCATCACTTTCACTGTTATAGATCCACACTGTGTCAAGAGCTTCTATATTATCCGTCCTGTAACCCCCAGTTACATAAATGTTGGGTCCCAAACATGTAACACCATAGCTCTCCCTAGTATAATCTGGTATTTCTGCTCCTTGAATCCAAACATTTGTCAAAGGATCCCATATGTGAACCTCTGAGAGAGGATGCCAGTAATAGCCTCCAACGATATACATGGTGGCTGTGGACCTCTGGGAAATTTCTTTATGCATAGGATTCAAAGAATTGTATATTAGAGATCTAATTTTGTTTTCTGTTAGTAGGCAGCTTCTTTGTAGGCCTAAAGCTGTTTTTAAATACACTGGGTCTATATCTATGTTGACATAGTTTAGTAGATTACATAGGCATTCAATTCGATTTTCTACATCATGAGCAGTCCATTTAATAACTGGCTCTATAATAGCTTCTTCTTTCCAAACACTGAGATTCTTTCTGGACAAGATAAAGAGAAACTTCTCAAGGCTGATTTCCAGAAATTCTTCTTGTTGCCATACTTCCTTAAACCTTGAACACAGAATTCTTCGTGATTCCTTCTCTAGTTCTGGACACACATGAAATTCTGCAAAGGAGTGCATTCCAATACAATTATCAATATCCAGGTGCCTTACCAAAAACTGCTCACAAGCCTTCTTTACTGAAATGAACTGTAACAGATCGGCTGCTTCAAGCAGGCTCTGAACATTTCTTTTAGTTATTTCAATTTGGGAAGTGTAGGCATAATTTACAAGGCCTTCCAGAATATCATGGTGGATGCCAGAGAGTTTTATTTTATTTTTAAATTTTTCTTTCATGTCAGCTGTAAACATCGCCTTAAAATAATTGCTGCAAGCAGCTAAAACGGCTCGGTGACAATGGAAGATTATCCCTGAAGGGCACTGAAGGGTAATATCAGTAAATAATCCATCCAAGTAAAAGGTTCTGAATGCATCCAGCAAATCCACTGGATGTGATGAATCCTTGAAAAGATAAATATAATCTTCTTGTCCTTTTAGAGACATGGCTGCAATAAATATAAAACGATATATGTTCTTAATTTTGTATTATTTCTAATCAGTACTAAATACTCCAATCATTGTGATTGATTAGCATCGGATATACTCCAAAACTTGACAGAGTTCAGCATTCAAAGTAACAATGCAAAATATGGATGCACTGTTTGTAATGATACGATGATCAATTTAAATCCGGGGTTGCTTAGAACCTGAAATGAGGCCCTTTGGATTTATAGTTGTTTTTTGAGAAGAAATATTGATTTGCTACCCCATTTCCGTAATCTACCCTGGGATGGCAGTCCGAAAAGAGATTCCACAGTGGGCAAACCAAGTGCCTAAGGGGTCCCCCCACACCCAAGAGGCCGGACTTTGGACAATTCGTCACGACCCCAATTCAACCTTTCCCTCTAGCTCCGTCTCCCTTTCAAATCACAGAGATGCCAAGAAAGGGATGATCGAAATATGATCAGACAAGAAGAAATCTAGGAAAAGGGAAATCTTGTGCCTTTTTTTTCCAAGGAAGAAGAGAAAAGAAAATGGCCCGGCCGCGGCCGCAGCCGCTCCAGACCCGCGCCCCCTCCCCCGCGGCTGCTGCAAGGGTTTCCCGGCGCGGGGCCCTGGGGCCCACGTTCCCGCCGGGAGACTGCTCCGCCCCGAGGCCTGGCGGGGGGTGCTCGGCTCAAGAGCGCCGCGCTGAGCCGGGTGCCGGCGCCCCTCTGCCTGGGACTCCCGCACAGGTGTGGGGAGGGTGCAGCGGGTGGCCCCACGCGCCGCACGCGGCCCGGCCCGGCGCCCACTCGGCCATTGTCTCCGCGCTTCTGCCGCAGGGCGCCAGGCGGGCGGGCTAGGGAGGCGGCGCTGCCTCTGTCTATTGAACCAGCCCTACTCGCTCACCGCCCGCTAGCCTCGGGCGGCGGTACCGCTCCGCACCTACCTCCGGCGGCGGCTCCGGGACGCGGTGCTTGCCGGCGGGCTAGTGACGGGCGGGGGCGGAGGCGCCTCCGGACCCTCTGACCATCTTTGGAAGAGGCGCGGCGGAGGCTGCCTGCTAGTGCTGCTCCAGCCCACAAGCGGCTCCTATTTTGGTGCCCCGACTTCTCCCCCGCTCCAATTGAACAGCTCCCCACGCGCCCTGGGAGCCGGGCCACTCGCGGGAACTCTCCCGTCGCCTGGTTGCGCTGCGGGCGGGGCAGGGCGGTCAGGAGCGCGGCTGCGGCCCCTCCCAGGTGGTTCTCCCCAGCAGCAGGTGGGACGGCTTCCACAAGGTGGTCAACCGCGCTGCTAGCTTTGTACTCAATCTCTGGATCTCTCTCTCTCTCTCTCTCTCTCTCTCGCTCTCTCTCTCTCTCTCTCTCACACACACACACACGCATATAATACACACTTATGCTTTTTCTCTCTTAGAGAAATTGTAAATCATGATTTAAGGCCATGAAAGTGGGAGTGAGGAGACCCTCCTGTCTGTTGCTTTCACCAACCCTGACCCTAATGGTGGGTGGACAGGCAGAGGGGAAATGGTGGAGAGAATGCAGCAAAACTAAAGGTCTAGGGTTGATGTTGCCTTCAAAATGCCAAGTAGCTGAAGCTTTTCCAGGAACCCCATGTTACCCCTGCAGAACAATCAGGGGCTGATTGGTACACAGTGGGTTAACCTGGAAGCTTTGAGAAAAACTGGGGCCAGCCAGGGCCCTGGCCGAGTCCTGCTATGCTAGGATTCAGGTTACTTAGATTTAGAGCTGAGTAGCTGGAAGGAACAGCCTCTAGCTTTTCTTCCGGGTGATGGCCAGTCTGCTGTTGTTATGTGCCGTCCAGTCGGACCCAACTCATAGCGACCCCACCTTGGGTTTCCGAGGCAGTATCACTACGGAAGTAGATTGCCCATCTTCCTTCCAAGGAGTGGCTGGTAGGTTTGAACCGCCAGCCTTCTAGCAGTCAAGTGCCTTAGGCACTACGCTACCACAACTCCCAGATGAAATTGCTCAATGTGCTATACCAGAAAGTTCATTTTCTTATTCCAACAAAGCCAAACCGAACTCACTGCCATTGAGTCTATTCAAACTCATAGCAACCCCCATTGGGTTTACAAGGCTGTATATCTTTACAGAAGCAGACTGCCTCATCCTTCTTCCACAGAGGGCTAGTGGATTCCAACCATGGACTTTTGGGTTAGCATCCAAATGCCTTAACCACACCACCAGAGCTCCTTATTCTAACAAAAACCAGTATCAAATATGTTCATTTATCATTCATTCATTAGCAAGATTTTCTTGATCGCCTTCTGACTGCCCAACTGCACTGGTAATAGAGTGGTGAGAGATGGTCCATAGCTCTCTCATGGGACTTAGAGTCTAACCACTTTAAGGGAGGAAAGACTATAGGATGAAATCACCACCAGAGACGCCCAATGTGTTTCTCATGGTATAGTCTCTGGAATATAAAAATGGACAATGGACAGATCATATATGACCAATAGAACTCTGAAACACATAAGTCCAGTAAGCCAAACCACAACTTTTGCAGTAATCAGACGGGAACAACCAGGATTTGGTCAATGACCACCAACTTTCCTGTTTTTACCCTCTACTTCCAACTCAGGACCAACCAGAAAAAGCCAAATATGCTCCCTGAACAAATCATCAATCGCTTCCATCTTTCCCAGGTCAACCTCCAATCAGAGAATACCTGAGGCCTTCTCTCTCTTTTTTTTCACTATAAAGCTTTCCTACTTCCCTGCCTGCCTTTGAGCCTCTGCCAAAGGCTGACTCCTTTGCTGTAGTGAGCTCTGAATAAGTAGCCTCTGTTTGTTCTCATTTGGGTGGTCTTCCATTAATTCCACAGGTCAGACAATATCTCAATTGAATTATCTGGGAGGCTGGTAATTCAGCACCCCAGCCCCACCCCATCCTCACCCAGACTATTGAATTAGAGTATCTGAGGCAGAGATCTGGAAATACTATTCACTAGGTGAATATAATCTCACTAGGTGAGATTATAGCCCCTAGTTACCCTTCAGGTCTGAATTAAACTGACTTGTGTGGCTTCCAGCCAAACAATAGACAGGCACGTGCAGTGAACATTTACATCAGGTAGATATACTACTTGGAGTGATTAAGCATGGGAGAACAGAATGGCAGTGTATGCACAAGGAGACAGGTCAGGGGGTGGGAGTGCATGGGAGGGAGGGACACAGGGAAGAGGTAACCAGAGAGAGGAAGTGGGAAGAGAGCTGTCACACTGTGGGGAATTGCAGTCAATGTCATGAGACTGCTGTATGGAAAATGAATTTGCTCTGTAAACTTTCACCTAGATCATAAAAATAAATAAATAAGTAAATAAAAATCATTCCATTTATCAGACTGAGATAATTTAAAATGTTTATTTTTGGGATAATTTAAATATCTTTACATTATTTGACCACTTATAAAAGTGATTATAATGTTAATAATGAAAGCAGAATTTTTTAATACTTAAAAACCAAGGACATAAAACAGGTCAAATTTTAATTTATATACGTATCTGTTGCAGAGAATTTTCTTGCTGTTGCTGTTGCTATTGTTGGTTGCCATGTTGTCAGTTTCAAGTCATGACAACTTCATGTGTGTCAGAGTAGAACTGTGCTCCATAGGGTTTTCAACAGTCGATCTTTTTGGAAACAGATCGTCAGGCCTGTCTGTCAAGGTACCTCTGGGTGGATTCCACCAATCTTTCAGCTACTACTCCAGTGCTTAACCTTTACGACACCCAGGGACTCCCCACAGAAGTTTAAAAAGGGATTAATAGAAGATTTTCAAGCATAAAAATATACAGACAGTCCTTACATTGAATGGTACTGATATGCACAATTTAGTTAATTAATATCAATCCCCCAACACTGTTGAAATCTCAGTTACAATGGTGCTATGAATTGAGTTGTGTCCCCATCAAAATATGTGTTATGAATCTTAACTTCTATACTAGTGGTGGGAGCTCTGGCGGTGTAGTGCCTAAGACATTTGACTGCTAACCAGAAGGCTGGCTGGTGGTTCAAACCAACCAGCCACTCCTTGGAAGGAAAATAGGGCAATCATCTACTTCCATAGTGATAAAGCCTCGGAAACCCAAGGAGGGGTCACCATGAGTCAGATCCAACTTGATGGCAATGAGTTTTTTTTTATATGCTGGTGGTTATAATCCCATTTGGGAATGGGTTGTCTGTGGTATGTTAATGAGGCAGGATTAGTGTAGGGTATATTGAATCAATCTCTTTTGATATATGAAAGAGATTAAACAAACAATTGAGGGAACAGAAACGGGAGAAGACCAATACCATACCACATGAAAGTTACCAAAAAGGCAAGGAATAAGAACTTTTCTCCAGGGCCCAGGGCTTGGAGGCTGCTTTTCGCTTGGGGATGGCTCTATATTAAGTCCAGGGCCCAAGGCAGGTGAGCCTGGAGTTGGGGACTGCTTTTTGCTTGGGGTCGGCTCTTTACTAAGGCCTGGGCCCGAGGTAGGTGGGCCTAGGGCTTGGAGGCTGCTTTTTGCTTGGT